ACCCCAGCACTTTGGGAGGCCGAGGTGGGCAGATCACCTGTGGTCAGGAGTTCAAGACTAGCCTTGCCAACATGGTGAAACCCCATCTCTACTAAAAATACAAAAATTAGCCAGACGTGGTGGTGTGTGCCTTAATCCCAGATGCGTGGGAGGCTGAGGCAGGAGAATAGTTAGAACCTGGGAGGTGGAGGTTGCAGTGAGCCCAGATCGCGCCACTGCACTCCAGCCTGGGTGAGATTCTGTCTCAAAAACAAAACACAAAAAACAAAACCAAAAAAACTCCCAAGAATGATGTCACAGCCAGACTTACCAACTTTGGAACATAGCCGGGGAATGAAAGGTTGCTCAGCATATAGCAAATTCTAGGGTGGAATTATCTTGCTGCCCAGAAAGCACATTATTCTCTATCCTTGTGCTTTGATATCACTATAACTCAGTATTCTCTACCCACGGTGGATTCTATTGCTTCACGTCTTCTCGTCTATCTGTCGAACTAGCTTCAGTCAAATGTATTTCTTTCTATCTTGAGTACAAATCTCACTTAGAGTGGATCTGATTGGTTCAGGTAGTCAGCACCCACCCCTTAGGTTCCCAGCCAGCTTTTGGTCTAATCATATGTGCCACTATAGTACTGTGAAAAACAGGTCTCTTATCTATCGCAGCTAAAGGAAAATATTCTTTGAGAACATACAAAGGTTTGTCTTCTATTTCTATGCTTATTTCTCACCTATAGGCAAAATAGTGTTATGGTTAACATTGAGGTTCTGCAGTAAGACCGCCGGAGTTTCCATTCTGTCTTTACCACTTACTAGCTAGCTACATGACCTTGGACAAAACAAATTTACTTCACTTTCCCGTGCCTCAGTTCCTCTTCTATAAAATGAGAATGATAATACAGCCCCTGCCTCACAGGGCTGTGAAGATTCCATGAGTTAATGCATGTGAGGCCTTAACACAGTGCATCATATACTACTAGTAAACACCCGGGAAGTTAACACTATAATTGGTTGCCTGAGTGTTCTTGAACTATAGTGTATACAGTATATAGCAAAGGTGGAGACTAGAGGCTGGTAGACCAGATAGCTTCCAGCTATTATAGTTTAGGCTATAAGGACCTGAACTAGGAGGGCACATCAAGAATAGAAGAGAGGTTCTCAACCTTTTTTCCTTCAATAAGAAATGTATCCAAGGAATATAACATACCTTTGGCCATCATAACGTTGTCTCCATTTCCAACTCTATGTGTGGGAATTACTGTAGAGGTGAATCTCTATTGTGAGGTAGGAGGCAGGACTGAGCTCCAGTGGCAGGGCTTGGACACTGGACAAAACTGAGGACTAGCTAAAACAAGGACAGGGTGGAAGCAGTTTTCCATAAGTCATGCCTCCCAGTGTGCCATGTGCCATGTCAGTTTACCATTGCCATGGTAACACCGGGGAGCTACCACCCCTTTCCATGGCAGTGACCTGACAACCCAAAAGTTAGTACCCTTTCCCTAGAAATTACTGCATAAACTGTCCCTTAATCTACATGTAATTAAAAGTAGGTATAAATATGACTGTAAAACTGCCGTAAGCTGCTATTTCTGCAGGAGCAGTCATGGAGCTGTAACACCTCTTTAATAAAGCTGTTTTCTTTTACCACCAGCTTGGCCTTGAATTCTTCCCTGAGTAAAGCCAAGAACCCACCGGCTAAGACCCACTTTGGGGCTCACCTGTCCTGGATCAAATCTACATAATTTAGACTTTGTGGAGGTCAAGGAGTAAGATTAACTCAGTGTGTTACACAAGCTCAAAACTTGATAGTCATCCTTGACTACCTCTTTCAATTTTGCCCTTCATATTCATTTGGCCAACAAGTCCTGCTGAGTTCACCTTCTTAATGGTTTTCAAATTTACTCCTCTCTCTAGTTTTAACTGCATGGGGTTCCTCAAAAGTTCCCTGACTCCTCTAGGCAGTGTTAGTTGTCTTTCTTCTGCCTTTCTGTCAAATTTTGAGCATAACTTTATTGTGGGACTTAGTATATATATTCACATTACATTGGAATCATCTGTTTACTCATGTTTCTCCATTCAACCATGATATTCTTAAGGTCAGTTAAAAAAAAAAAATCTTATATCTCTAGTGCCTGGCATATAACAAGGCTCAATGAATGTTTGAGAAAGGCAAATGACTGGTATTTTTAGCCCAACTGGCAGGATAGTGCCACATTCACTGCATTCTTACTGTGTGTCAGGTATTTGAATTAAAAAGATGAGAAAGAAACAGTTTCTGCATTGAATACATGGACACTAAGAAGGGAGCAATATACATGGTGGCCTACTTGAGGGTGGGAAGAGGGTGAGGATCCAAAAACTACCTATCAGGTACTATGCTTATTGCCTGGGTGAAAAAATAATCTGTGCACCAAACCCCTGCAACATGCAATTTACTCATATACCAAACCTGCACATGCACGCCCTGAAACTAAAGTAAAAGTTGGAAAGAAAAAAAAAAAGAAATAGCTTCTGTTTTGGAGGAGCTCAGGTAACAGCAAGGGACAATATAATGACTAACAGCAACCAACTGTGTGATCTTTGATCAATTATTTAATATCTCTGAATCTCAGTTTTCTTATCTGTAGAATGAAGCCATATATATCCTTACTAAGAATTAGTAAAATAAGTTATAATGCAGTGCAATCTTACAAATTCCTGTAAGGATTAAAAGAACTGTTTTTCAGCACTTAACACAGTGACAGACATAGTAGACACAGGTTGTTATTATTAATGATGATGAGCCTAGCAGAAGAATACCATAATGCGAGGGGAATTTTTTTTCCTGTTTTTAAAGACGTGGTCTCACTCTTGTTTCCCAGGCTGGATTGTAGTGATGAAACTGCCACTGTAAAATTATAACTGAGATGGTAAAAGATATCTGACCTCACCAACTCCATCTTGCTTCTAACCTCCAAACTGTTCTTGTTCACTCCTGGGCATAGGCTGAACTAACTTTGGAAGGAACTTTCAGTTTTTAGCTTAAAACAAAGATGATAACAGCCCTTTCCTAAAACAAATCCCCTTCTTGCCTAAAAAATATTCATTTAATCCTTACAGGAACTTGTAAGATTGCATTGCATTATAGTTTATTTTACTAATTCTTGCAAGGATTTAAATATATATAGTAGGCTTCATTTTACAGATAAGGAAACTGAGATTCAGAGATATTAAATAATTGATGAAAGATCACACAGTTGGTTTGTGCTTTTAGTCATTATATTGTCCCTTGCTGTTATCTGAGCTCCACCAAAACAGAAACTATTTCTTCTTTTTTTCTTTCCAACTTTTACTTTAGTTTCAGGGGGTGCATTGCAGGTTTTGGTATACAGGCTAACAGAGTAGCCAAAAGATTAGACATTATGGTTTAGGAGTCATGCAGCTGGAGGCTACAAGATTCTGACCCTCCCCAAATTGCTCCTGGGGATGACAACACTATTGTAAAGTCTAACTCAGTGTTTGAGATATTTTGCAGACCCGCAAAATGGATCAGCTGGCACCACCCAGATGGTAAACTGGCACATCTGATCTTGTGGTCCCAACCCAGGAACTAAGATTCTGACCCTTCCCAAATTGCTCCTGGAAATAACACTACTGTAAAGCCTAACATCAGTGCTTGAGATATTTTGTAGAGGCTGGAAAATGGATCAGCTGGCACCACCCAGACTGGCAAACTGGCTCATCTGATCTCGTGGCCCCAACCCAGGAATTGATCCAGTACAAGACAGCTACCACTCCCTGTGAGTTCATCTCTGACCCAACCAATCAGCACTTCCGACTTACTGGCTGTCTCCCCACGCGCCAAATTGTCCTTAAAAACTCTGATCCCTGAATGCTATGGGATACTGATTTGAGTAATAACAAAACTCTGGTCTCCTGCACAGCCAGCTCTGCGTGAATTACTCTTTATTGTAATTCCCCTGTGTTGATGAATTGGCTCTGTCCAGGCAGCTGGCAAGGTGAACCTGTTGGGAGGTTACATTGAGTGACCCAATCACAGCTCACTGCAGCATCAAACTGAAGCGATCCTCCAGCCTCAGCCTCCCAAACAGCCAGAATTACAGGCGCAAGCCACAGAGGTTTGCAAGGGGAAATTTTTAGGAGCACAGCCACTGGGCGCAGAAAACTACTATGTACCTTCAGAGTGAGGGAGGAAAGTCTTAAAAGTCAAAGCCTTAGAAATGTTGTGCAGCCTTAAAAATCAATTAAGTCTTAGACCTGGGGGGTCAAACCTCAAATACGACAGCAGCCAGAAATTTATTACATCAGAGGTTGGGAATCACTTGGGGAACTTCAAAGGCAGATCCATGGCCAGTTCCCAGCCTCAAACTCATCAGAATTTCTAGGAGTTCTAGTTCCAGCATGAATATGATTTTACCTCTCCTAAATTGATTCTAATGTGCAGCCAAGGTTGAGAACCGCTGCCATTCTAAACCAATGAGGGCAAGATGGCCAAACAGAAGTGTCATTTCCTATTTAGTCTCCTTGATTGTTGCAATGGAATTTCTCAGCTTCAAAAGTCCAGCATTTCATGTGAGATTTCCCAAATTCTAAAATGTTGGCAAGTAATTAAAAAAATTTTTTTTAAAAAAGATTAGGATCAAAGAAAACATGGATTCAGGGCCTACTGAGTGTCACTTCGTGACCTTTCTTGCAGTTCAACCTCAGGTTTGAACAAACAACCTGATTCTGAGAAGTTAAGTAACTTGTTCACGGTTACACAGCCAGTCAGAATAAGAGTTGGGACTAAAATCCAGTCCCTCTGAATTTAATTAATGTTCCTTCTATGTCAAGGAAGAAAAACCTGAAGATGCGCTTTAAGCATGAGTAACAGAAACGCAGTTACAACCAGCATGATCGCAACCACGCATGCGCCTACTACTGGTAGCGCGGCGGAAGAGCAGCGAAGGTTAAAGGTGATGAATTACGACCTCTGCTGGCGACGCTCACGACTCCTGCCGTAAAGGCCGTGTGTGGCGCCTGCGCACTTCCTTTCCCTTGCGGATTCCCGACGAGGTGTTTGCAGTAAGGGGTTCGCCCTACGCCACGCGGCCGTCGCTATGGTGAAGCTGAGCAAGGAGGCCAAGCAGAGACTGCAGCAGCTCTTCAAGGGGGGCCAGTTTGCCATCCGCTGGGGCTTTATCCCTCTTGTGATTTACCTGGGTCAGTAGGAGAAGAACCGGGAAAGTGACTGGAGGGAAGAGGGTGGCGGAGACTGCTGTCCCAATTTTGGCCACCGAGGGAGGGAGAGAAAAACAGGGGACATCGTCGTGCACGGCCCCTGAGGCTGTCTGGTCAAGTGGGGCCGATATAACCTGAGTTCAAGTTCCCGTTCCGTCGCTTTATAGTTGCATGGTCTTTAACCAGTCTTGCAATCCCTTCTTTTCTATTTTTGCATCCTTAAAGTGGAGGTCATACTTCTCGGGATTGTTGGGAGGGTTGGATGACCCCAGTGGATGTGAAAGCGACTAATGCACTCTTTAGCACTAGGTGGGTTCTCGGGGTGTTTGCCCTCACCTCTCCATGTGGTCCTAAGTGGAAAGAGGCCTGTTCTGGGAATCTAGACCCCCTCGTGAAAGTACTACTGCCATGAAAGCATGATTATAATAATAATCGTTGGATGCCTCTGCTTTCTTACCTGTACAATGAAGGGTTTGGATGATTTCTATTACTGCCCCCATTTTACAGGTGAGGAAACAGCCGTAGAGAAACTTTTGCCAAGGTCGCACAGCTATGCTGACTGAGGGAGTTATGGGCTCAGGCAGTGGGGCATCAAAGCCCAAAGTCTTAACTACTATAGGGTACTTAAAGGATTTGGGGTTTTTTTGTTTTTGTTTTTGTATTTGTTTTTGAGACAGTCTCGCTCTGTCACCCAGACTGGAGTGCAGTGGCGCTATCACGGCTTATTGCAACCTCCGCCCGCTGTGCTCTAGCGATCCTCCCACGGAGCTCAGTCTCTCAAGTAGCTGGGACTATAGGCTCATGCCACCAGGCTCCGTCACTTTCTGCAAAGATTTGTTAATATTTTTCAGTTAGGGCTGCAGACTGGGACCTATTCTGTAGTTTTTTCTTTTCTCTTTTCTTTTTTCCTTTTTTTTTTTTTTTTTTTGAGACATATTCTCGCTCTGTGCCCAGGCTGGAGTGTAGTGGCACGATCTCTGCCCACCGCAATCTCTGCCTCTTGGGATCAAGCTATCCTTCCCCCATTAGCCTCGCGAGTAGCTGGGATTACAGACTTGCAGCTACTGCTCGCGACTAATTTTTATAATTTTAGTGGAGACGGGGTTTTGCTATGTTGGCCAGGCTGGTCTCAAACTTCTGGCCTCCAGTTAGCTACCGCCCCTCTCGCCGGGCCCCGCCCCGCGCGCGGCCTCCCAAAGTGCTGGGATTACAAGTGTGAATCACCGCGTCCAGCCAGTAGTTTTGTTTTTTTTTTTTTTTTTTTTTTTAATTTTACTGCCCCACTCAGGCAGTTCCGTGAAAGGGAAAGAGCAGGTTTTTCATCCCAGCTGTGTCAGTTTGATCATATAGTTTGACAATTCTAAAACTCAGTTTTACATTTTAAAATGCTGTGATTTTAACAAGGTGCTGCTTCCTATTTAATTTAGGTGTCATGCATTGTATAAGATAAAGTACACTCTGATTAAGCAGCTGTGGTTTCTATTTCTCCATGAGTTGCAAGCCAGCTGATAACCTGGGATTATAGAACTTAAAAAGATGTTTTTCTCCCTTATTCTGGGTGCATTTTTTTAAAAAAAACATTACTTTTCTAGATTTTAGTGACTTTGTGTGGGTACCAAGGATTAGAGTAAATATGACAGTTGTGTTGTCCCCACTATTCTTGCAGCACCTCCCCCCGCCCACTTCTTTCACTTGCTGATAGAAGGGCCTACTCTGGCTGGTCAAACACTGGGACTAGCTCTCCTTTTAGCTAGAGAGGTGTGGAAGCTTGATTCTTCCCCTTCTTTGTGCCACCTTCTGTTTTCATTGTGTATGCCACGTCCTATTTTAGCGTGCTCTTGCTTTTTGTGTTCCTGTGGTTCTTTGCTTCTCTGTAAGTCTTTTCATCTACTGTTCCCTCCTCCTCCCTGTTTTGAGATTCCATTTCTATTGCTAGAAAGCTATAGCTGGTTGCTGCAATCTACATGCCAGGGGCTTTCGTCTAAGAGTTGATAATGCATTCCTTTTCCATACTACAGTTTATTTTTCTTTTTATGCACACTGGCTATATTCCCTTCCTAGGAGTACCATTATGGTGATTTTCACCCCAACATTCAATTCAAGTTCTATGAGATTGGTGTTAAGGTTGTCTTTCCAGTATTTATCATTGTCTTTTCACTTATGCTGTATATTTAATTTTATGTCTAAACCAGTTCCCACGTTGAAATAGAGACAGGGGCTTGCTGTGTTACCCAGTCTGGTCTTGAACTTCTGGCTTCAAGTGATCTTCTGATCTTGGCCTCCCAAAGTGCTGGGATTATAGGAATGAGCCACCACACCTGGCTCCAGGTTGTTCTTTTACTTTCTCCACCTCAACTCTCACTAAAACCAGCAATTGCAGATTTAACTTTGTATGTAATTTAGGTTCAGTCATAACTTTCAGTGCTTCGGGTAGTATAGTGCTGTAAAATATGACAAGCAGTGACACGATAATAGAGAATGTGTCTGGACATCTACTAACAAGGTTTTAATGAGCCACTTGTTGGAAGGCAATTCGCCATGGTCTCTCGCATTTCTGCACATCTCATAAGCAGAGGCTCTAATGACCCTTTGTTTCATGTTATCTTTTGAGGGCGTTTGTAGAACAAACAGCCTTGGAAAATAGTACCTCCAGACAGAGCAAAGGGAGATGCGCTTGCAGCCCATTATAAAAGATTCTGGTTCCCTGAACTCCAGTTAATATCCTGCAGTGCAGTCCACCACATGTGCAGGTGTCATCCGGACCTCTTTGCATGGAAATTGGGAGTTGAGGAACTGAAACAAAAATGATGGTACTCTCACAATCTATTGCTGGAAGTAATAAAGTGTTCTTTGTTTCTGACTTAGAATATTGTCTATACCAGCTGGGTGCAGTGGCTCACGCCTGTCATCCCAGCACTTTGGGAGGCTGAGGCGGGTGGATCACCAGAGGTCAGGAGTTTGAGACCAGCCTGACCAACATGGATAAACCCTGTCTCTACTGAAAATACAAAAATTAGCTGGATATAGTGGTGCATGCCTGTAATCCCAGCTACTCAGAAGGCTGAGGCAGGAGAATAGCTTGAACCTGGGAGGAGGCAGAGGTTGCAGTGAGCTGAGATTATACCGCTACACTCCAGACTGACGACAGAGCGAGACTCCGTCTCAAAAAAAAAAAAAAAAAGGTGTTTATACCAACATCTGTGAAACTGGCAGGCCAGTTTGTTATCTTTTATTTATTTATTTTAATGGTCTAAGTCACAGAAGATTTTTTAAAAAATATTAACTTTTATTCTCTTTTACACATAATATTTTTTGTTATCTTTTAAATAAGATAAAATTGCAGACCCCTCATAGTTTTTGAAACCTCCCTAACTTAATCAGTTACTTCAGCAAGTGAGCATATATGTCATCAGGTTAGTTTATAAATATATTTTAAACGGTAAAAGATAACCATACTTGTAAAGAGTTGATTTAATTAGGTTGTTAAATAATAAGTATCGGATGATCCATCCCCTGCCGTCCCCCGCCCTCCACCCTGTCCCTTTTCTATCATTGGTCTTTGTTTTATAAAAGAGAGGTTTATGAGGGATAAAATATCCTCAGTTGTGTTTTTTAAAAAGTTCAGTAGTTTTTCCTCTAGGCATGGTGGTTCACGCCTGTAATCCCAGCACTTTGGGAGGCTGAAGAAGCTGATCACTTGAGCCCAGGAGTTCAAGACCAGCCTCGTCAATATAGTGAACCCTTGTCTCTAAAAAAATTTAAAAGCTTGGTTATGTCTTTTTCCAAAAATCATTTTGCTCTTCATAGTCTTTCATCCAGTATAATTTTGGAGTTGTGGTATCTTATTTCTGGGTAAATGACTAATAATGAAAGCTAGAACATGCTAAGGGCAACTGTGCCAATTGTGTGTATAATGACCGTGTGCAGTGGCTCACTGAGAAAGTTGTTTGTTTTTGTCTGGGCATGGTGGTTCACACCTGTAATCCCAGCACTTTGGAAAGCCAAGGCAGGTGGATCATTTGAGGTCTGGAGTTTGAGACCAGCCTGGCCAACATAGTGAGATCCTGTCCCTACTAAAAATACAAAAAATTTAGCTGAGCGTGGCAGTGCATGCCTGTAATCCTAGCTACTCAGGAGGCTGAGACAGGAGAATAGCTTGAGCCTGGGAGGCAGAGGTGACAGAGGTTGCAGTGAGTCGAGATCATGCCACAACACTCCAGCTTGGGTGACAGAGTGAGACTCTGTCTCAAAAAGAAAGGAGTAAGATAGCTTGTTCTTCCTACTGATTAGTCCTGGACACAATTTCATACTCTAATGAAGATTGGAGACTTCTGTAGTGCAGATAAATTTAGATAGTGCTGGTTGGTGTAGATACCATTCTAGCTATCCTAGGTTGGATTACAAAGAAGAGAAAGTCTTGATTGTAAATGTTTTGTCTGCTGGGGGTTTAATTAATACTTTTTTCTCTTCTGTCTTCCTTGATTCAGGATTTAAGAGGGGTGCAGATCCTGGAATGCCTGAACCAACTGTTTTGAGGTACTGCTCTTAAAACTAAACATTTCAGGGCAAATGTTCATACAGTAGTACTGAATCACTAAGATGTAAAAGAGTAATAGTGGCAGGCCTTGAAATGGAGCTTTATCAGTCAGTATAGTTTTGGGTTATTGGAAAACTGCAACTATTTTCTCTTCCCCGTCCTAATTTGTATTTACTGTACCATGTTATAACTACAATGAAACACATTTTAACAGAAAAAGAATTTATTATCCTACCACTTTAAAATGCGAACTGTTTTAAATTTCCCATATTCCCATCTAATCCTCATTCAGATGAATACAACCTTTTATATCATTCTGACAAGGGTGTGCAGGATTTTGTTTTCACTTAAAATTTGAGTTGCTATCCCATGTATTTTCCAGTTGTGGTTTACCTAGGTTTTTCAATTTTTAAGTATTTTATACAACAATATAATTAACATTTGGGCAGGGTGTGGTGGCTCACACCTGCAGTCTCAGCACTTTGGAAAGCCAAGGTGGGAAGATCGTGGGAGGATTGCTTGAGGCTAGGAGTTCAAGACCAGCCTGGGCAACATAGCGAGACCCAACTCTACCAAAAAAAAGAAAAAAAGTAAATAATTAACATTTGTGTATAAATAGCTTTTATAGATTTTGATTTCCTTATAAATTGTCATGGGATTAATAAAGTATATGAACATTTATGGCTCTTGACTGTCAAATTCCTTTCTCAGAAATGATCTTGCTGGTATGTGTAAGCACTCGTGAAAACTTCACACACACAGTATACATACTCATATACACATGTATGCATATATGTGCATACTTGTGAAAATTACATGTATATGTATAATCTCAAACAGGCAGGTTTGCTCTGGAGGAAGGACTGATACTTGTGGCACTATGATGATCTTGACTACTGCACACTAGTGAATCGGATTTCTGCTTGATCCTGTCTCAGACATCTCTTGTGGGTTGCCCTCACAGACTTTTCACTGACTATTCTAGGGCTTCATTCATTTTCTTCGAACTTTTACTGTAAGCCACGTTTTTCTAGAGTGGGCAGAAAATACATTATTCACTATCACCTACAATGTGTCAGCCACTGCTTTAGGTGCTTTTTACACAATGTGTCTAGTTGTCACTTCAGTCCTTCAGAGCAGGTTATACAGTCAGTACGTGGTGGAATATGTTCTATTTCCAAAGCTCATATTCTTTCCACTGGGTCCATGTGGCCTTCCCCAAGTAATTTTACCTCTTCCTTTACTTAGCACAATGCCATCTGATACGAATTTCCTCCACCACATCTGCCTTGCTGCTCTCTTCTTTTTCAGAGGAAGGTCTTTTTTATTCTCAAAGGGTACTACAATATGTGCCTTCAAATTGTTCACTTCTGCAGTTATTCTCTTTTCCTGGATAAAGTTTTTCAACAAATGATCTTCACGCACTACCTTCCTCTCCTCCCTCTCTTCCTTTAACTGTTTATGGCATGACTTTTAAAAACTGCTTTCAGAGATTCCCCACTAAGTCCTCTTTTCTTAGCCCTTATTCTTTGATCTATCGTTTCCTTTTCTGTAAAATAGGAATTGAGGCAATATATCTGCTGCCTACTAGTTGAGTGGCCTTGGCCTTAGACCAATTATTTCCTTAGAGAAACATTACCTTGGGAAGCATGAGAGAGGACTACTGAGTCAAGCTGTGTGGCATTTTCCAAGTACTGGAAATTATCATCAAATACCTTTCTCCAAGAAACCATTAACCTTTCTAAGCTTCATTTCCCCTTTTTATCAGTTGGGGATAATAATACCTACATAATAAGGTAGCCATGAGCATTGAATAAGAATATTAAATATAAAGTATTAGTACTTGTCAAGTAATATGTGATCAGTAAACAATAATAATTTTTAATCTTTTCAGTGTCATCTTTTTTATCCCCATTTCCTTATCCTATGGAAACAGTGCTCTAGCTATATGATGCTGCATGCTAAGTCTCAGAATAAACTATATATATTTTTATGCCTTTGCCCCTATGCTTGTGCTCCGTCAGCCTGGAATGCTTTTTCCCCTTAGTTTCCACTGGATGGAAATCTGCTTCTAGAAAAGCCCAATCTCAAATGTTGCCCCTTCCGTAAATCTCTTCCTTCTTTCCTCCTAGCTAAAACTATTCTGTTTTTTGTGTTTCCATAGTTTCTTTTTTTCTTTTTAATTTTTATGGAGGCAGGATCTCACCATATTGCCTAGTCTGGTCTCAAACTCCTAGGATCAAGTGCTGAGATTATAGGCATGGGCCACTGCATCCAGCCCCTTAGTATCCTTTTGTATCTGTCATTCTGTGCCTTGTAGCTATAATATATTTTGTCTCATAAGCACCTAAAGTAATTGCTCAACAAGTATTGAATTAACTTAATGACCCTCATCTCTTGATAGTCTTCTGTGGGTTTTTTATATTTTATTTTAGTTTTTTTTGTAGAGACAGGGTCTCACTGTGCCAGTCTGGTCTTGAACTTCTGGGCTCAAAAAACAATCCTCCCAATGTGCTAGGATTACAAGCATGAGCCATAGCACCTGGCCATCTTGGTGGTCCTTTGGACAGGAATTGACAAAGCATTGCATCTTGTACAAATTTTAGGCTGGACCAGCATGTTGGAAAATAACATTTTTTTGTGCCCTAGGTGATTTAGGATACAGAAGTGGGGAGAGAATGTGTCTTTCTGTTGTCCTTTTTTGAGGCTGCATTTATCCCAACAAGATTTGAACCTTCAACAACTAGATGAAGCATCCCTGTCCTACCGCTTTTCATTTCTTCGTCTTACTGTCTTCTCAGTGCTTCTCTCCTTCCTGGTGCCAACCCTCTTGATCTTTTCTGTCATTAAGAACATCTTCTGGTTTCCTTCCAGAGGCATTTGTGTTTTAGGAAAGAATTGAGTGACTGCCTGCAAAGGGTTACTCAGTTAAGGAATTTCATGTACTGTGCTCCCCGCACTGGGAAGAGTAACTAGAGAGATCTGAGCTGCCTGATCTATACTATGAAAGGAACAGAATTATACCTGCTATGGTTTTTATTAACATAAAATTTATTGTTTATTAATATAAAGTCTATTGTTTCTACATATATTTATTGTGTATATAATACTTATGTAAATAATACAGTTAAGGATCTACTAGTTTGCTTCCCTTGCCAAGTTGTTGGGTTCTTTGAGATTAGGACCACTTTCATCTTAGTATCCTCTTTCGCCCAGGATGGCTCATTGTGTGTGGTCAGCAAATGTTGGTTGACATGAATGGCTTATTCAAAAGTACTTTAATATATAAGGGGCAGTGTTTTAGTAAAATATTTAGGCAAAATATGTGACTATCAAGGTTAAGAGAATCATTTCCATTATCTGCATAAGGCTGAGCAAAATTTCCTTTTTATATTTTTGCTGCCCATTACCATTGAAGAAGAGACCTTTATAGATCTTTTTTTGTGTGTTTTCTTCTGTCACCCAGGCTGGAGTGCAGTGGCACAGTCATGGCTCACTGCAGCCTTGACCTCCTGAGCTTAGGTGGTCCTCCCACCTCAGCCTCCCGAGTAGCCAGGACAGCAGGCACGCGTTACCATGCCTGTCTTTTTTTTTTGGAGTTAGAGTCTTGCTCTGTCGCCCAGGCTGGAGTGCAATGGCCCAGTCTCGGCACACTGCAGCCTCTACCTCCCAGATTCAAGCGATTCTCCTGCGTCAGCCTCCTAAGTAGCTGGGATTACAGGCGTGCACCATGAAGCCCGGCTAATTTTTTTTTTTTTTTTTTTTTTTTTAGTGGAGACAGGGTTTCACCATGTTGGTCAGGCTGGTTTTTTTTTTTTTTTTTGAGATGGAGCCTCGATCTGTGTTGCCCAGGCTGGAGTGCAGTGGTGTGATCTCGACTCACTGCAACCTCTGCCTCCCGGGTTCACTGCATTCTCCTGCCGAGTAGCTGGGACTACAGGTGCCTGCCACAATGCCCAGCTAATTTTTTTGTGTGTGCTTTTGGTAGAGACGCGGTTTCACCATGTTAGCCAGGATGGTCTCGATCTCCTGACCTCGTGATCCACTCACCTTGGCCTCCCAAAGTGCTGGGATTACAAGCATGAGCCACTGCGCCTAGCCTTTTTTTTTTTCTTTTTTTTTTTAAGAGACAGGGTTTCACCATGTTTCCAAGGCTGGTTTCGTACTCGTGGGCTCAGGCGATCCACCCGCATCAGCCTCCAAAGTGCTGGGATTACAGGCATGAGCTATCATGCCTAGTCAGTAATTTATTTTTATATTTTCAGTGTGTGCAAAAATACTTAAGAGTTTAAGGGGAGATTTTAATACGCAATGAAAATTGGAAATAGATGTGTGTTTTCTTCTTAGGCACAGGGAAATTTCTTTTTTTGTTTTTTTTTTTTTTGCGATGGAGTCTCGCCCTGTCACCCAGGCTGGAGTGCAGTAGCGTGATCTTGGCTCACTGCAAGCTCCGCCTCCTGGGTTCATGCTGTTCTCCTGCCTCAGCCTCCCGAGTAGCTGGGATTACAGGCGCCCACCACCACGCCCGGCTAATTTTTTTTTTTTTTTTTTTGTATTTTTAGTAGAGACGGGATTTCACAGTGTTAGCCAGGACGGTCTTGATCTCCTGGCTTCGTGATCCACCCACCTTGGCCTCCCAAAGTGCTGGGATTACAGGCGTGAGCCACTGCGCCTTTCACTGCGCTTTTCAGTTTGGCTGAAAATATTTTTTAAAAATAAACTACAAAACTGTCATTGTCATTTAATAATGCAGTTTTATTCAATGGGCCACAGTTTTAAGCATCCAGATTTAGAAATGAAACCATCTCTTTGCTCCTTCTTAGACTCTATTGGAGTCAGCAAATGATTTGGGAGTTGGGCTTCTTAGTGACTGGAATGTTTGGGGTAAGAGTTAGTTGAGGTGGAAGGGGAGGCTAATTGCTCCCTAGGAACCTAATGGTTGTAAGAGCACTTAGGCCACATCCCACTCTGCCGTCTTAAATGATATAACTATCTCAGATCCTCAATTTCCACATTAAAATAGGGATCGTAGTTGGGAGTTGTGAACTTTCCTCAGTGTCTAATGCACAGAAACCATTCAATAAATGTTATTTTAGTATTACTGATGTTGCATCTAATAGTGAGATAGCTTTGTTTTCTGGGTTTATCAGGCTTACCTGTTAATGGAAATCAGTAATCGTTTTCCTTTTGATTGACTTCATTTTGTGTCTGCTCACATTTTTGTTTTTGTTTATGATAGGTAACTGCGCTCAAAAGTAACTAAAGTGTATTTTAATACAGTTCTGTATGTTTAATTTGTTTGTTTGGTGGGATTGATCCTTGTCTTTTCATAACTCTGAATTTGATAGATGAGGAAACAAATATAAATGTATAAAATTTTCTAGGTCTTAGGTTATGTGTAGAAGATTTTTATTTTGGAATTTAATTTCTTTCTCCTCTTCACAAACATTTTAGCCTACTTTGGGGATAAAGGATTATTTGGTCTTCTGGATTTGGAGGCAATCAGCGGACAGCATGGAAGATGTGTGCTCTGGCTCGGATAAGAGATGGGACATCGTTCAGTCACTAGTTGGATGGCACAAGGCTCTTCACAGATGCATCTGTAGCAGAGTGGAACTTGTACTAACTTATGATAGAATGTATCAGAATAAATGTTTTTAACAATGTTATGCTTGAGTCTTTTTTGAATTGAACGTGCTAGGATTATCAGGTAAAAATTAAGCCTTTTGGTACTTTTTTAAAACAGGGAATTTGTGTATGTACCTAGGTGCTGTTTACACCTGTAAATCCCAGCACTTTGGGAGACCAAGGCGGGTGGATCATGATATAAAAAATATTTTCCAAGTTAATTCCTGCCCATTGACCTAACATATGGATTACAGTTTCCCTTTGCAGTGAATTAATAACTCTTTCTAGGGTATTCCGAGGTAGTAAGAATACAGATAGTTCTCAGTTTGTGACAAACCAAACTCTCACTTCCTCCTCTGCATTAAAGTTCTGAGTGCAAGAAATAAAGGTCCTGGTGGCTCTGTTGCTAGGGGATGGGAATGGCACTGGAGAGTTGTGTGATTTATTTGTAGGTTACATGTGAGTCTAAAGTTTCCCTCAGTTATATTAGGAAACTAGAGCTGGCTGGGCAAGAGCCCGTGGATTGCTACATGGAATAGTAGCACTGTTTTCTGGTAGAAAGAAAGGCAGCTAATGAATGGAAACTAGTTTTCAGTTCTAGATACTGGTTTCCTGGGACCTTCACCTCTATTTGAATCCTACTTTTATTTAGTTTTTTTCCATTCTTCTAACAAAATAGCATTATTTACTACGTTTGGCCATTGTTACTAATACAAGAAAGCAGAACCTGAAACAAACAGTTTGGAAAGAGCCTATTGGGTTGAATATTTTAAGCATCCAGTGTTTAGGCATGATCATGACTATAATCCCTCTCAGGTGCTGGGAGCTGCCATCACCAGAAAGTTCTTATTTCTAATGTAAAACCCTCTTAGCTATTTAAGCCTATTTCCTCAAGGCTTGTTACTTTTGCCATGGAGATCTAGAAAACTATTGTGGTGTCTTGTTGCATAAGGGGATTTTAAAGTGGAATTCTTGAGAGCTAACTGCAGGAAATCAGTTTGGTAAGTACTTAATGTAATTGCTTCAGCATCTCTGTGAATCTAGGCATGTGTAATTTTGCTGAAAATTGAGCACAGTATTAAAATTCCATGGAATTGCTCAAGTTTGTGGTTCCCCCAATCTTTTTTGCCAAGTGCATCGTCAGGGAACTTTTGTTTAGTATTTTGTTTATATGTTTTTCTTCTGTTTCTCACTTGGGATTTTCAGTAATTGAGAAAGCTGTGTCAGGTATCTGTTTTGTTTAAATAGTAATGTGAATGGTAAACATAACTGGTTGTGGTTTTTTTTTTTTTTTTTTTTTTTTTTTTTGAGATGGAGTCTCGCTCTGTCGCCAGGCTGGAGTGCAGTGGTGTGATTTCGGTTCACTGCAACCTCCGCCTCCCTGGTTCAAGTGATTCCCCTGCCTCAGTCTCCCGAGTAGCTGGGACTATAGGCGCATGCCACTACACCTGGCCAATATTTTGTATTTTAGTAGAGATGAGGTTTCACCGTGTTGGCCAGGATGGTCTTGATCTCCTGACCTCATGATCCACCCGCCTCGGCCTCCCGAAGTGCTGGGATTACGGGTGTGAGGCACCACACCTGGTCTGGTTGTGTTCTTTTAAGGATGACCTTTGTGAACGCCAAATGTCTGAGACAGGTTTCAGTCAATTTAGAAAGTATTTTGCCAAGGTTAAGGACGCTCCCATGACACAGCCTCAGGAAGTCCTGAGGAGGTGTGCCCAAGGTGGTCGGGGTACACAGTTTGCTTTTATACATTTTAGGGAGACATGAGACATAAATATGTCTAAGATGTACATTGGTTTGGTCTGGTAAGGTGGGACAACTCGAAGTGGGGGCTTCCTAGACAAAAGGTTGCATTCTTTTGAGTCCTTGATCAGCCTGAATACACAATTTAGTCTGGCTCAGTGAGTCTGCATTTTTACATAAATAGCGCAGAGGAAGCAATCATAGTGCATGTGTCTCAGGTGAGTCTCAGAGGGATGACTTTGAGTTCTGTCTATCCTTTGTCCACAAGGAATTTCCTGTGGGCAAATTGTGAGGGAGGTATGTAGCTTCTTTTCTTTGTGGCTGTCTCATTTAGGAATAAAGTGGGAGGCAGATTGGCCTGACAGTTCCCAGCTTGACTTTTCTTTTGGCTTAGTGATTTGAGGGGTCCTGAGATTTATTTTCCTTTCATACCTTGTAGCTGTCTATAAAACCTCAGAAATTTTAAAATAAGGCATCCAGAATTAGGAAGGAACCAGCTCCCTGGTCTCACATCTAAGGAAGCTAAGGAACAGAGTTTAAGCACTTCTTCAGGGTACAGCCTCAGAGCTGAGACTGCTACACAGTTTAATATGTATATATATATTGTAAAGTTTGTGAAATGTTTAAGCTCCCACATTTTATGAGTTTTAGTTTTTAGGATAGTACAATTCAAACATTTATTGATTTCTGTTCTGTGTTAGACACTAGAGAGTCGTTATGACTGAGATTATTCCTGACCTTGATTAGCTTATGGAAAAACACTGAGCTGGTAGGACCTGATTTGAGTCCTGGCCCTGTCAGTTCTAGAACCTTTGGTGAAATCACTTTTGGTTTTTTTACTGGGAGAACAAGGCCTCTGTGTTGCCCAGGCAGGTCTCAAACTTCGGGGCTCAAGCTATCCTGCCTTTGCCTCCCAAAGTGCTGGGATTATAGGGGTGAGCCACCGCACATGGCTGAAGTCACTTAATCTTTAGGTTCCTTCCACAAGATAGGAACAACAATACCTGCCCCAGGATATTATTTTCTAAACTAATGGTTTTCATAGCTGGTCCCAGACAAGCTTCACCTGGAAACTTATTAAAATGCACATTTTCAAGTCTTACTCCAGACCTGAATCAGAAACTGGTGATGAGGCCCAGCAATGTGGGTATGTCTGTGTGTGTTTCATTTCCTCAAACATTATTTTAACCATATTTTGAGAAAATTGTAGAGTTGTATACAGTGTAAGAAATGATACGGAAAGATCCCTGTATCCTTTACAGTTTCCTCCAGTGGTAATATCTTGTGTGAACCCCGATTATCGGAGACGGATCTCAATTAGGAAGTTTATTTTGCCAAAGTTAAGGATGTGCACGCACCTGTGACACAGCCTCAGGAGGTCCTCACGGCATGTGCCCAAGGTGGTTGGGGCACAGCTTGTTTTTATACATTTTAGGGAGACACAAGACTTCAATCAGTATATGTAAGATAAATATTGGTTTGGTCCAGGAAGGTGGGACAATTCGAAATGAGGTAGGGGGCTTCCAGGTCACAGGTAGATAAGAGACAAATGGTTGTATTGTTTTGAGTTTCTGATTAGCCTTTCCAAATGAGTCAATCAGATATATGTTTATCTCAGTGGACAGAAGCATGACTTTGAATAGAATGGAAGGCAGGTTTGTCCCAAGCAGTTCCCAGCTTGACTTTTCCCTTTAGCTTAGTGATTTTAGTGTCCCAAGACTTATTTTCCTTTCACACTTGGAAAACTGTGGTCAGCATCAGGATATTGACATTGATGAAGTCAAGAAAGAACATCTGTCACCACAAGGATCCCTTGTGTGGTGGGATATAGTCAACCTTTCTCCTCCTACCCTGCCCCTACCCCTAACCCCTGGCAACCAGGAAATCTGTTGACTACTTTTATAACTTTTTCATGTCAAGCAAGTTATATAAATGGAATCAGACAGCTTTTGGGTTTGGCTTTTTTCAGTCAGCATAATTCTCTGTAGATTTATCAAAATAGTTTCTTTTTATTACTGAGTAGTATTCCACGGAATGGATGTACAAGGATGACATCTGGGCTCCCAATTTTTAGCTGTTAAGAGCAAAGCTGCTATGAGCATTCATGTACAGGTTTTTGTTTGATTAATCTGTGATTTAACAAATCACAGGTGCTTCTGATGCAAGTCAGGTTTGAGAACTTCCCCAGACTTGCAGAAGCCTTCTTGCTCTCACCTATGTATTACAGTGTGCTCTCAATGGAACATCCAGAGTGATCCTTTTAAAAATAAGATCACATCACATCCTGATCAAAGTTTTCCAGTGATTTCCCATATCACTGGGAATGAAATCCCAAGTACTTACTTTCCAAGACCCTATATCATCTGACCTTCTGCACCTTTGGTCTCTTTGTTGCCTATGATTCATCACCCACATTTGCTTGCACTCTTGCTGTTTTGTTCCTATCCAGAGAAAGGCCAAGTATAGTCTCACCTTGTAGTCTGTACTACCTATTCCCTGCTGGAACTCTCTCCTCCCAGATATCTATATGGTTAGCTTCCTCTATTCCAGTCTGCCTAAGTGTCATCTTGTTAGAGGGCTTCCCTGATCCTTTAAAATAGAAGACCCTAAACCTGTGTTGTGGATGCAGAATTTTTGTTCCTTAGCTAAATCCAGGTTCTTGTATCATGACCAGGAGAAATCAGGCACGCAGACACACTGAAGGGTGAGGAGAGCTGAATTTATTGGGTGAGAAGGAAAAAAGGAAAAAAAAACTCTCAGCAAAGTGAGAGGGGTTCCTGCTAACAGAGGGAACCCCCTACCACCTCCCAGATTGAATAGCAGGCCACCACACACATTGGCTGAAGAGACCAGGCTCCTCCCCACTGCACAGGGTGAGAACTTCCCATGGCTCCACCCCGTTCCCCCAGTGTGCATGTGGGCATTATTCAGAAAGAGTCAGTTGGGAAAGGGCGGGCAAATGGGCAGTTCTCCCTGAGGGTGGAGGAATTCATCTGGGACCAGCAGTCCAGTCCCTCAGACTTCGGGCTGTTTTAGGCTTGACGGTGGGGTTTGCCAGGGACTGTTGACTGTCTCCTGTCTCTATCGTTCTCTTCTCTAAAGAAGTACATCTAATTGCCATTAGATAAGGATAAGGATGAGGACAAAGATAAATCTTAACTGCTTCCTTCTGGCAGGGGGCGCTGTTTTGGGAAGACAGCAGTCAGAACTCCTGCAGAGGCCTATCTAAGGGTCTCTGGCAAAAGGGGCCATTGTCTGAGGCTCTGGTTGTATGACCATTTAAAGTTTGATG